ATACCTTTCTTACTACATCCACCAAAATACATCTTTGTCTCAATGAGAATCCTAACTAGTTCCCTTATGTACAAATATTGTCTGTGGGGGGAAGGGCATAAAAAACAACAATTTTTTAAAAGATCCCCAATGAATATATACAATATGACATATAATATATTTATAAGAAACTAAGCAAAAAGGGTGTTAGTAATAAAACCCCCCACAAACCTTATATGTGGCAGAAATATCAGTTAACCGGACGAAATCGACGCGGGACTATGAAAAAATAAAGGTAACACACATTCCTCCAAGGCATTCACACAGGCACACACTCATTCATACACAACAACAAATACGAAAAACACACACACGAAACGAAAGGCGCCCCGCATCCACCAGAGCAGCGGAGCAGTTACTACAATTTGATCGTAGCGCTTTTTTCGTTACTTTGAAGCCGCTGAATAAGACATAATGGTTAAGCTTTTTGTTTCGGATGTTTTTAAAAAAAATGTGGGAGTGTCCATCAGATATAACTAAAGTATCTTAATTTTCTTATGCCGGTCTTTTCAAAATGTAGGTGATATAAGTGAACATTTAAAAAAAAATGCTGACTGTTCATTTTTACGCTTAACTCGCCGTTTAAGGACTAATCGCCATTTTTACTAAGCAAGCAGAGAAATACGAATAAAAAAAGCATTTTATTTTTGGAAACAATTTCTTGTAAGTCTGACATGTTTCTTTCCCGGAATGACTGGATGTGAACTGAGGAGAACTTAAAGGAATATATAAAGAAAAGGAATGTACCTTTTTATATATAAAAAGTGTCTCGTCACGATGTAGCAATTGAAGCTCTCCAAAACTTCCTATTTGTTGTAGCTCCAATATTTTTCACGTTTATATCCTTCCCAGCAGCATATACTTTATTTAAAATCATATCATCCTGGGTAAAGAACTAGAGCCGCTAGGACGCATAGGGGGTGCTGATCGTTTGAGAATATGAGGAAAAACTACTATTAAGAGAAGAGGAAATAAAAGAACAAGAATTAAGAAGACAGAAGATAACGATTGACGTTGCATTTAAATTTTTGAAGATCAAAGGCAATAAAGTCACTAGGACGCAAGGAATTATTGAGTGTTAGAGAATATGAGAAAAGCTACTATTAAGAAGATAGAACAATAAAAAATAAGAAGACAGAAGTCAGAAGATAGCCATTGAGATCGCATTTAAATTTTTGAAGATCACAAAGGCAATTAAGTCCCTAAGAAGCAAGGTGGAGTTACTGAGTGTTAGAGAATCTGAGAAAACTACTATTAAGAAGAGTGGACAATAAAAAAAATAAGAAGACAGAATACAGAAGATAGCAATTGACGTTGCATTAAAATTTTTGAGACTCACAAAGACAATAAATTCACTAATACATAAGGGGTTACTGAGTATTAGAAAATATGAGAAAAGCTGCTATTAAGGAGAGAGGACAATAAAAGAACAGGAATTAAGAAGACAGAAGATAACGATTGACATTGTATTTACATTTTTGAAGATCACAAAGGCAATAAAGTCACTAAGACGCAAATGGGTTCCTGAGTGTTTGAGAATATGAGAAAACTATTATTAAGAAGAGAGGACAATAAAAGAAGAAGACAGAAGAGGTTTTTTGAGGTCCACAAAGGCAATAAAATCACTAGGACGCAAGGGGTACTGAGTGTTAGAGAATATGAGAAAAGCTACTATTAAGGTTAGAAGACAATAAAAAAACAAGAAGACAGGCGATAAAGACTGTCATTGTATTTAAATGTTTGAAGATCAAAGTTGCCTGGGAAACAAGAAACCGGAAGAGAGTTCCACAAACGAGAAGTTCGAGTGAAGAAACTATTAGCATAGAACTTACGGTTACATTTAACCATATTGTAAACTGATTGTCACCTAGCCGCCAATTTAGTACAACGCTTAAATTCATAAAGTTCATTAGAACAATAAACATGAAAATATTTATAGAAAAGGCACAGAGAAGCTACGTTACGGCGGTGGGAAAAGGACTGGAGCCGAAATGCTAGGCCAGAATCCTTTTTATCATTCGTCTACATCGTTAAGTATGTAACTTGTTGTTTAATTCTGCATCACTTGCCTTGACAATGTTTTGTAAGTATCAAATTTTCCAAGCCTACTTTCCTCATTATGCGTCCCAGAAATTTCAACTTCTTTTCCGATTTGATCACTTTTCCATAAAACTACCTCACTACTCCGTTGATCTGATCCAGTTAGTCTCAGCATCCTGCTGTAGAATCACATCTTTGTGGCTTTAAATCTCATTTTCATCTGTCATAGAATTCAGTATTCACTGTCATAGAGGATGAATGATATTACATAGCAGTTCAGTACTCTTTTTTTTGTTTCTAAGAAAGTTTTCCCGGGGGCTAAAATGTCGTGTTTTGAGATAAAAATGACGTAACATCTTCAGGGAATTATAATTATTTTAAAAACATTTCTTTTAGATTAAGTTAATTAATGGATTGCCTAAGACATCATATTATATCATGAATCATTTAAAGATTTGCCGAATTAGATTATCTTGTCTCTGTTTATTATTCTTAAAGATTGGTTTAGGAAAAGAAGACGAACACAAAATCAACGGAGGTCATTACAGTATAAATAAAATAAAATCAACCATTAATCGTATAATTTCTGGAAGTCATTGAGAAGTAATTAAATTTTAACTCAGGATAAAAAAAAAAGTATTTTATGTCATTTACCGAAATTATCGCCATCCATAGATTATATATCATTTACATGGTTGAAACGAACGTCTGATACAAGCGCTACGATTACTGTATACAGGCTCGTTCTATTAACAACCCACCTTACATGGCAACGAATCTTAGGTCAACTATTGTCACTACTCGCGACAAACTTGAGCACTTCTATCAATGCTGATTGCACAACAGACGCAAAATCCTTTGGAGTGACTTCATTCTCAAAATTGAAGTCCTAAAACAGGCATGTGTCACTAGCATTGAGTCCATACTGTTAAAGACGCAGAGAGGCTTGGCTGGACTTGGCCGGATATGCCTTCAGGATGAACGACCAGCACCTGTCCAATATTGTGCTGTAATAAGAAATCTTCACCAAACACGGTGACATTGGGTCACTCAAAAAGAGATAAAAATAGACCAGTTGAAGAAACTTCTCAGCACTTTTCACATTGACTATCGTGTGCGATCTGTCAGCCGTAGTTCCGATGACTTAACGACTCACTCCACATTGAGGCAGCGGCTGCTGCGAGAATAAATGCACTGTTGACTTGGCAAACGAGAAAAGGAAGAAACCGGACCAAACATTTTCCTGTGGCTGTTGCTTCTAGATCTGTTTATCTTGGGGTTGGTCTGCAGCGATTCTGCAGCCTATGTGGACAGACCCTATTCGTCTCTGAAGCGAATCCAAGAAGAATATAAAACATTACATATAAAGCATGGATAAAAGAGTAGATAATAAAGATTAGGCATACTAACAAGGTTTTGTAAGTCTAACATTAACCATTCTTCTGTAGTGGGCACCAAATCGCAGTTTAATTATCAGCAAGTCAGATTCGTGGATTATGAGAATTATCAGCAATTCAAATTCGTGAATTATGAGAATTATCAAATTCATGAATTATGAGAATTACGAAATTCGTGGATTATGAGAATTATCAGCAGTTCAAATTTGAGTATTATGAGATTTATCAAATTCGAGGATTATGATTATTATCAGCAATTCAAATTCGTGAATTATAAGAATTATCAAATTTGTTGATTATGAGAATTATCAGTAATTCAAATTCAAGTATTATGAGATTTATCAAATTCGTGGATTATGAGAATTATCAGCCATTGAAATTCGTGAATTATGAGAATTATCAAATTCGTGAATTATGAGAATTACCAAATTCTTGGATTATGAGAATTATCAGCAATTCATATTCGTGAATTATGAGAATTATCCAATTCGTGAATTATCAGAAATATCTGAAATTCTAATTCGAGTATTATGAGTATTGAGTTCTATCCCACTGGAAGCTCCATACTTGTAGAAAAGCCAAACGAAGACAATAGACAGTCATCTTCATTCTGTAGTACCTACACTGAGCAACTTCCACTATTGGCCGTGTCCTATCGAGATATGGGCGATCATTGCTCTCCACCCGGCGAAACTACTATATTTAAATCGAAGCTCTCGCCGTTAACCTGAAATTTTTATCTTCCTTCTACATCCTCTTAAGTGATAGCAGACCCTCTACCTTGAGTGACTCAGGAGATATATACAGGGTGCAGCAGAAATACTGTTCAAATAATCGTGGCAATTGTGTCTTCTTTACCTACCTAATGTCTTACCATTATGTGGGAAGTATTTTTGGGAGGGTATATGTGGGAAGTATTCCTACCGCAACCGTGTATTTGGTGAACTTTAGCAAAAAAAGAAAATCAGTTGTCAGTTAACTAGTCAGACAAGGTGATGAATTCGATTTTCACCGAGTTCCCGGATATATTTCCTCTTTGCCAGAAATACATAAGCCTACTAAATATGTACAAAATAGCGAGACAAAATTGATAGTTAGAAAGCCAGTCTCGCCAGACTGTAAGGTGGTCGATAATAATGAAAGGGAACACAGTTTTGACCCGAGAGCAGAATATACCTCATTAGAGAGATAAAGATTCTGGCGTTGAACAATAGTTGACAAGATGAGTTCGAAGAACGCTAATCATGTTATGAGCCACAAAGGGTTCCGCACTATATTAGAAGATGGTTGTTAGATGAAAATAAACTTAAGAAAATATATATATATTATATTTGGATATTTTAAAGTGCGTCTTTAATCCTGTATCTAAAAGTTGAAGCGGCAAAAAAGAAAAAAAAAAAAGAAAAAAAGAAAAAACAAACTTTTGGTTCTTAATAACCATCTGAGTGCCTTCAACTGACAGATCGGCGTCTAAACATTAAACAATAAGATAGGATAACAAACACGATGTATTTGTTAAACTAGGAAATATTTTAATCTATCTATCTATCTATCTATCTATCTATCTATTTGTTTTCTATTTATCTATCTCAGTTTTTCTATCTATCTATCTGTCTGTTTTCCATATCTATCTATCTATCTAACTATCTATTTGTTTTTCATATTTATTATCTACAACTGGCTTTTTTTATTTATCTATCTATCTTTCTGTTTTCCGATATCTATCTATCTGTCTGTTTCTATCCATATCTATCTATTTATCTATCTAACTGTTTTCCATATCTATTTTTCCATATTTATCTATCTATCTATCTATCTATTTGTTTTTCCATTTATATATATATATCTATCTATCTTCTGTTTTCCATATCTATCTATCTATCTATCTATCTATCTGTTTTTCCATATCTATCTATCTATATCTGTTTTTTCCATATCTATCTATCTATCTATCTATCTATCTATCTATCTGTTTCCCATCTATCTTTCTGTTTATCTATCTATCTATCTATCTATCTATCTATCTATTTTTTTTATCTATCTATCTATCAACTATCTATCTATCTATCTTTTGTTCTATCTATCTATCAGTTTTTCGATATCTATCTATCTGTCTATCTGTCTGTTTTCCATCCATCTATTTATCTATTCATTTATCTATCTAACTATCTATCTGTTTTTCCATATTTGTTTTTATCTATCTATCTATCTATCTTTTTTCCATATATCTTTCTGTTATATCTATCTATCTTTCTGTTTTCCATTTTATCATATCTATCTATCTATCTATCTATCTATCTATCTATTTATTTTTCCCAACTATTTATCTGTTTTTCCATATCTATCTATCTCTGTTTTCCATATCTATCTATTTATCTATCTAACTATCTATCTTTTTCCATATTTATATCTATATCATTTTTCCATATATATATATATCTATCTTTCTGTTTTTCCATATCTATCTATCTATTTTTTCATATTCCACATTTTTTCCCATATCTATCTATCTATCTATCTATCTGTTTTTCCATATCTATCTATCTATCTATCTATCTATCTATCTATCTATCTATCTATCTATCTATTTGTTTTTCCACAACTATTTATCTATCTGTCAGTTTTTCGATATCTATCTATCTGTCTGTTTTCCATATCTATCTATTTATCTATCTAACTATCTATCTGTTTTTCCATATTTATTATCTATCTATATCTGTTTTTTTCCATATATATATATATCTATTTTTCCATATCTATTATCTATCTATCTATCTATCTTTTTTCCATATCTATATTATCTATCTATCTATCTATCTATCTATCTATCATCTGTATCTTATATCTATCTATCTATCTATCTATTTTCCATATCTATCTTTTGTTTTTTTTTCCATTTATCTATCTGTCAGTTTTCGATATCTATCATATCTATCTATTTTCTATCTAACTATCTATCTGTTTTTCCATCTATCTATCTATCTTTTTCCATATATATATCTATATCTATCTTTCCATTTTATATCTATCTATCTATCTATCTATCTGTTTTCCATATCTATCCATATCTATCTATCTATCTATATCTGTTTTTCCATATCTATCTATCTATCTATCTATTCTTTTCTATCTATCTATCTATCTATCTATCTATTTGTTTTTCCACAACTATTTATCTATCTGTCAGTTTTTCGATATCTATCTATCTGTCTGTTTTCCATATCTATCTATTTATCTATCTAACTATCTATCTGTTTTTCCATATTTATTATCTATCTATATCTGTTTTTTTCCATATATATATATATCTATCTTTCTGTTTTCCATATCTATCTATCTATCTATCTATCTGTTTTTCCATATCTATCTTTCTGTTTTTCCATATCTATCTATCTATCTATCTATCTATCTGTTTTTCCATATCTATCTATCTATCTATCTATCTATCTATCTATCTATCTATCTATCTATTTTCTATCTGTCATATCTATCTTTCTGTTTTCATTATCTATCTATTTATCTATCTATCTATCTATCTATCTGTTTTTCCATATATATATATCTATTCATCTATCTATCTATCTATCTATCTATCTGTTTATCATATCTATCTTTCATTTTTTTATCTATCTATCTATCTATCTACTATTTATCTATCTATCTATTTTATCATATCTATCTATCTATCTATCTATCATTTGTTTTCTATTTATCTATCTGTATTTATCTATCTATCTGTCTATTTCCATATCTATCTATTTATCTATCTAACTATCTATCTGTTTTTCCATATTTATTATCTATCTATATCTGTTTTTTTCCATATATATATATATCTATCTTTCTGTTTTCCATATCTATCTATCTATCTATCTATCTATTTTTTCCATATCTATCTATCTCTTTATCTATCATATCTGTTTTTCCATATCTATCTATCTATCTATCTATCTATCTATCTATTTGTTTTTCCACAACTATTTATCTATCTGTCAGTTTTTTTATCTATCTATCTATCTGTTTTCATATCTATTTATCTATCTGTTTTTCCATATCTATCTATTCTGTTTTTTCCATATCTTTCTGTTTTCCATATCTATCTATCTATCTATCTATCTGTTTTTCCATATCTATCTTTCTGTTTTTCCATATCTATCTATCTATCTATCTATCTATCTGTTTTTCCATATCTATCTATCTATCTATCTATCTATCTATCTATTTGTTTTTCCACAACTATTTATCTATCTGTCAGTTTTTCGATATCTATCTATCTGTCTGTTTTCCATATCTATCTATTTATCTATCTAACTATCTATCTGTTTTTCCATATTTATTATCTATCTATATGTTTTTCCATATATATATATATCTTTTTCCATATTTATCTATCTGTTTATCTATCTATATCTGTTTTTTTCCATATCTATCTATCTATTTTTCCATATCTATCTTTCTGTTTTCCATTTATATATCATCTATCTATCTATCTATCTGTTTTTCCATATCTATCTATTTTCTATCTGTATCTATCTGTTTCCATCTATCTATCTATATCTGTTTTTTCCATATATATATCTATCTATCTATCTGTTTTTCCATCTGTTTTATCTATCTTTCTGTTTTTCCATATCTATCTATCTATCTATCTATCTATCTATCTATCTATCTATCTATCTATCTATCTATCTATCTATCTATTTGTTTTTCCACAACTATTTATCTATCTGTCAGTTTTTCGATATCTATCTATCTGTCTGTTTTCCATATCTATCTATTTATCTATCTAACTATCTATCTGTTTTTCCATATTTATTATCTATCTATATCTGTTTTTTTCCATATATATATATATCTATCTTTCTGTTTTCCATATCTATCTATCTATCTATTTTTTTCCATATCTATCTTTTGTTTTTTCCTATCTATCTATCTATCTATCTATTTTTCTATATCTATCTATCTATCTATCTATCTATTTGTTTTTCCACAACTATTTTTTCCATATCTATGTCTGTTTTCCATATCTATCATTTATCTATCTAACTATCTATCTATCTGTCTCTGTTTTTCCATATATATATCTATCTTTCTGTTTTCCATATCTATCTATCTATCTATCTATCTATTTTTCCATATCTATCTTTCTGTTTTTCCATATCTATCTATCTATCTATCTATCTATCTGTTTTTCCATATCTATCTATCTATATCTATCTATCTATCTATCTATCTATCTATTTGTTTTTTCCATTTATCTATCTGTCAGTTTTTTCTATCTATCTATCTGTTTTTCCATATCTATCTATTTATCTATCTATCTATCTATCTGTTTTCCATATTTATTATCTATCTATATCTGTTTTTTTCCATATATATATATATCTATCTTTCTGTTTTCCATATCTATCTATCTATCTATCTATCTATCTGTTTTTCCATATCTATCTTTCTGTTTTTCCATATCTATCTATCTATCTATCTATCTATCTATCTGTTTTCTATTCATCTATCTATCTATCTATCTATTTGTTTTTCCACAACTATTTATCTATCTGTCAGTTTTTCGATATCTATCTATCTGTCTGTTTTCCATATCTATCTATTTATCTATCTATCTGTTTTCCATATCTATCTTTCTGTTTTTCCATATATATATCTATCTCATCTATCTATCTATCTATCTATCTGTTTTTTTTTTCTGTTTATCATATCTATCTATCTATCTATCTATCTATCTATCTATCTATCTATCTATTTATCTCATCTATCTATCGCTTTTAATATGAGTAAATGACACATTTTAACAGGAATCTCAAGAGACGCCGGAAGTGCCTTAAAGGTACCAATGAACAGATGATATTACAACTTTGTATTCATTGGAGACGACAGTAACTTTATTTTTATTGGTTATTTCTTGATGATGAACACGTATCAATGAAAACAGAAATTTCTTTGAATGCGCTACTATACAAAATGCTTTTATTTACCCAGACGTAATGGCGTTGGGAATAAATTTCATATAAATACTTAAAGAATTGAAAAGAAAATACAATCATACATTAACTATGGAAGAAAAAGAAAAGAAAAGAAAATCATATATGTATATATCGGGTGTAACAGCAAAACTGTCTAAATTGTGTAACATAAAAATGTCCAATTATTTGATTAAACTTGTTGTGCCTTAGAAAATATTAAAGATATCTTACTGGAATAATTCTTTGTTATTATAACGCTATTGGATTCTACTTTGAGCAATAAGAACTCCAAGCTTAACAGAAGAACCGTGATAAAATCGATCATAAACGAAAATGACATGTTCATTATTAATGATTCATAGCTAAGGATCGGAAGCTCATGAAGTATTGATATAAAGTTCAAATACACACAGACACACCTATACACACACACACACACACACACACACACACACACATATATATATATATATATTATTCAAACTTACTCAAGATTATCTTCGCCCTGTCTAACTTTCTAAGATTCTGTTCTGGATTAACAAGTTGCCGCAGAGGTTTCACGTACGATTTCATTTTCAAGTCTTTTTCAACAGCTCTTTGGACTGACAGAGCTGAAAATCCCCTCTCACGTGCCAGAAGTTTTATTAAATTGTATTGGCTCTTTTCTAATTGATTTCTTTAGCTCTAAGATGAAATGATGATCCCTCTTTCTGTTGTGACCTTCTGATCCAGTTATCTTCTGTACTCTTCCCTCTTTTTTTTTTTTAAAAAAAACTTATTCGCCTTTCTTTTGATGGTTCTTGAATGGACTTTGAAGATGGAAGCCAGAGTATGAATGTTGGTATCATTACTGAAGGACTGAATGATCATGTTCCTATCACCATTGCTCTGTTGAGAAGAGAGCGGGGGCTGACACAAAACGATTTTAACCTGTTCTCTTACGAGCTGAATAACGATTTTTCAATGATTCTTACGATAAATGGAGTCAAGATGGCTAAACGTATCATCTAAAAATCTGAAAAAAGAAACAGTTTAGTGTTTTTTTTTTTATATTAATCATTTCGAGGGATAGCAATTAGGTTGTTACACGACCTGGACAATTTTGCTGTTACACCCATTATGTGTACTGTAAATTTGTTTTATATATTTATGAAGAAATTACTCAGTATCGGAAATAGACGTTTCGTAGATATAGACATTGTGGAAATAGGAAATCAGCACTGTATGGTGGCTGTCAGCTTCAAGCTTTAAGCAATCTTCGGACTATGTATTTATATATAAGATATTGGCGAATAAATTATACTCAGACCAAGAAGCACTTCCATCTGCAGTTTCGCTAGAGTTTAGTAAATTGATTTGGTTGAAGCCTTTCAGCACTAACTCGTACCTATACATATGAGGTGCTATTAAAACATCATTACCGTCGAAATAGCCACCTTGTGCAGCAATACACCCGTCCACTTTTGGAATCTGGCCAGGAAGTGGTTTTCCGTAATCGAGCCGAGGGCTTTCTGCACTGGATTTCTACTCTGGATTTCGTCAATGGTGTTAAAACGGCAACCTTTGAGCAGCATTTTCTGAAGAAATGGAAGTCCGCATGGGAACAGGGCGGCTACGGAAGCGATACAATTTTTTTTTCGGCTGGAAACGCACAAGTGAGAACGACTCGGTGACAGGGTGATTTGTCGTCGTGAAGAATCCAATTCTTCGCGCTCCACAGATCCGGTCGCTTTCGCCGAACTTCCTGTCTAAAAGGACGCAAAACATTGCAGTAGAACTCTCGATTGGCGGTCTGGCCTTGGGGGACGAATTCTCGATTAACAATACCGCGGATGTCAAAAACAATAAAAAAATAAAAAAATAAAATAAAACAAACAAAAAAAAACAAAAAGCGATGAGTATGCTCTTACTTGACAAAATCGCAGGCTACAGCATACAGGTGATCACAAAATTAATTTGTCCAACTTGCGAAGTGAACACAGCGACGCCACTTGGCACAATGGCGCATGAAGGTCACTGCTGGCTATCATTGTACACGGAACCATGTGTGGTCATCGGTTGGTGCACTACAGAACTTGCCTGGAAACTTTTTGATACCAACTCGTTCATGTGCACAAATACAATTCAACTGAGATATTTCAATTTTATCATAACTCCAACAGATCAACATTTATTAAAATGGTCATATAATTTGAATTGGGCATCACAGCTCGAAACACGCCTGGAGGTGAGATATTTATCGATAACTTATCTCTGATCAGTCTCCAGGAAAGTATTTTAGTCTAAGACGAGTTTCAGCTCAAAGCACGCCTAGGGTGGGGTGACATCTTTATATCGATATCTCTGCTCAGTCTAAGACGAATATCGCAGGGGAGGTTTGAACAATGATTTTTGTATAAGAAAGGAAACATTTTGACAGATGGTTACTTCATCCTAGCGAATGGTACAAGGGAGAATCTCTATTTGATACACTTTGCGTTCTTGCTAGTCGAAGCTGTCCCATTTCCCCGTTGTATAAGCCGGAATCATTTCTCAAACTTTTTTGTTCTTCAGTGAATATTTGTATAACGTGGTCATTTGTTTCCATCATGACACTTTTTCTACATCAATGAACAACGTTCATCTAAGAAGCGTCATTTGCCACCTAAACATGTGCTGTTCTTACGTACAACCCAGCAAAGGCAAGCGCCTCAATCTATGAAATTCGGACAGTGAAATTGTTGAACTATTGATTGTTTTAATGTACTGTTTGTGTCTAATGAACATTTAGCCGTTTCAGTTCAAGAAGAGCTTATTTTTAATCATTTAAGTAAGGCAATAAAGCCACTACGACACAAGAGGTTACTGAGTCTGAGGGAATATGACAAAAAGAAAACATTATTAAAGAGGCAGAAGACTAAAATAACAGGAATTAAGAAGACAGAAGATAACGATTGATTAAATTTTTTGAAGACCAAGAGATTGGAATGCAAGTATCCGAATGGGAATTCCACAAGCGAAAAGTGCGAGAAGGAAAAAGTTGTTAGAATAGAGCTTATGGTTACATCTACCAATTTCAACTGAAACGTGATGAGACCTTACCGCCAATCTAGTGCTGCGTTTAAACTCATAACGTCTCGGTACCAAAGAGGGTAACGCATCAGAACAATTACCATGAAAGTATTTATAGAAAAGTCACAAAGAAGCTACTTTATGGCAAATTCTTCTTCGGATTTAATCAAGAAGCCCCATACCAGATATGGCAGGGATATTCAATTTCTGAAAGAAATGGTAGACTTATAAATATGTAAAATAATTTCTGGCGAAAAAAAATTGTCTCGCAGAATACAGTGAAGCAGCTTTCCTAAGAGCAGACTTAGCATTTCATTCAATATAATCTTTCCATTTCATATAAACGGAAAACGTTGTCTGTACAAGTCGAAATCCATCTCATTGCTAGGGATTAGCATCAGACATGACGATGGAAGGCAAAAAAGATTCTCTAAATCGATTAAAATACAGAAGTTTCGTTTTGGAATGTCATGAGATTCGTAGACGTATTGGGATGGCAAAGGACACATTCCAAAAGCTGGGCAGGGTATTGCGAGACAGGAGGATTACTTTGGTAACAAAGAAAAGTTATACTAAACAGTTACGTGACATCGGTCATTCTTTACGGCAGCGAATGTTGGACGATTTCCTCAAAGATGAAGAAGAAACTCGAGGCGACGGAGATGTGATTCTACAGAAGGATGCTAAGGATATCATGGACCGAGTGTGTGAGCAACGATGAGGTCTTAGAGAGGTTGGACGCTTATATTTAACATCAGAAAGAGGAAGCTGAACTTTCTGGCACACATAATGAGGAAGGAAGGCCTGAAGAATCTGATACTCACGAGTCGAATAAAGAGAAAGAGAGACAAGGGAAAGCAGTGCGTGGCATACCTGTCGAGGTTGAGCAGGTGGATGACAGAACGTGGAAGCAGAGGGGAGGAACTTGCTGAGAGCTGCAAATGATAGAGAGAAGTGGAGAGCCATGATTGCGTTGGTCCTGAAAAGACATGGCACATAAAAAGAAAGAAGATGAATTCGAAAACAGATGCTATTTGACTTTTGGGACATATTATTTTCATTATAAATGTTTGAATAATAAGTTCTTCTTCTTATTGTTGTGTTTATCACAAATTTTGAGTTTGCATATAATTCGACATTTAAAGTATTTCGAATCAAATAGGATCATATTAGTAGCTTCCAACAAGCCACGAATTCCTTTGACATATCCGAAGATCTTGTTTTACTTGAATGATGTCTTAAACAATACAGTCACGATCGCTAATGGCTTGATAAATCAACAATTTAATGTTGTGATAAAAAGTTGTGATAGAAATTGAATAAACGTCTAGTAAAGAATTAATACATCAGTTTCATAATCGTGCAATTTATAGAATTTAAAACAACTGTAAAGCAAAAGATAACTTAAAAATATTTACGGTAGAGAAGAAGCACTATAATTATAAAATTATATTCCATCTTATAGTATTCCGTAGCTGAATTTGTTAATCCACCGACCATGAAATATCAAAGCAAATATGGAATGTTGGTTCAAGTCTTGTAGGAAGTTATTTTTTTCTACTTTTCGATATTTAATGACAGCTCTTCGTGCGTTTGTTTTCTTATGTGAAATAATTCATAAATTTACGAATTGTGTTTATAACTTCGGAAGTAAACCTTGTGAGGTGATTTATAAAAGAGTAAGATGATTTTAAAATATTATTCACGTTAAGAGGCTGATCCCTTGATTTTTACTTTAATTGTATCGTTGTAGAAATTAGCTTTTAATGGAATGGGTTTCATCTTTGTTTGTTTTTTTTATTTTAATTTGATCTATTTATGTTTTTTTAAGGTTGATATATTCCATATCATTTCGACGTTAATGTTCACCTGAAATAACCCGTTCTCATAGATCATGACACTTAAAAAAAACTTTGTCTAAATATATGATATTTATCTTCTTTTTTTTCTTAAAAACGGCATTTTAAATTTTTTTCTAATCATTTCACTCCAAGTAAAGTAATTATATCACTAAGACACGAGTTTGTTACTGAGCGTGAGAGAATATGAGAAAAAGAAAACATTATTAAGGAGAGAGGACAATAGAATAACAAGAATTAAGAAGACAGAAGATAACGATTGACATTGCATTTAAATTTTTGAAGATCAAAGGCAATAAAGTTACTAGGACGCAAGGGGTTACTGAGTGATAGAGAATATGAGAAAAACTACTATTAAGGAGAGAAGACGATAAAAGAACAAGAATTAAGAAGACAATATAACAATTAACATTGCGTTTAAATCTTTGAAGTTCTAAGTTGGCTGTAAAGCAAGAATCCGGAAGAGAGTTCCACAAGCGAGAAATGCGAGAGAAGAAACTGGTAACATAGAACTTACGGTTGCATCTAGCCATTTCAAGTATGAAATAATCAGACCTTAGAGCCAATCTAGTACGGCCCTTAAATTCATAAAGTATATATATTCAAAGACGATATTTATTTTGAAAAACTACAAGGCCAAAAACGGGAGTAAAGTGAAGATTGGTCTTCAGTCTGTCTTAAACTTAGCTAACCATAATTACTGGCCCAATCATACGACAGAATACATTACACCAAAACAACAAATTCTTACTTAGAATTCTTACTTAGTCACCATAATACCTCAAGTCTATACGCAGTCCTAATTAGTTCCCATATATACTAGTGTATTTGTCTAGTGAGGGGATACAAATAACAACATTTAGAAATGAAACTCCAATGAACATTTTCCATGAACACTATACAAAGCAGAAAGCTCATCAGAACAATTAACGTGAAAAATTTTATAGAAAAGGCACAGGGAAGTTACATTACGACGGTGAGAATGTATTTTTCCAGATCAAAATCGTGATCTTGACCGATCCAGTGGTTCACAAGTGAATTGAGTTGTTTGTTTAATTATAATTCCCTTTTATATTCGTATACTCTTCTTCTATGTGCCGCGTCTCTTTAGAGATTATTGCTCTCCACGACTTCCTATCTTTTTATTACCTCTCCTAATCCATGTTTTTCCATCCATTTAAACAGGCTCGTTAGGTAGGTTATTCGCTGCTTCGGTCTTGCCTTCAATATGTCCTGTGAGTGTCAAATTCGCAAAGCGTACCTATGAACACTAATTGGTATGTCCCAATCCTCATAAATACGTTGGATACTATTGTAAGTTTGTGTGTGTGTGTGTGTGGGGGGTAATAAATATACTGTCTAAATAACCAGACCTTATACCTTGCCACCTGAGTATTCGTGCTACTACTTACCTTATTTACATTATTCGGAATATTGTCCTCATCTTCTATTGTCCTCATCTTCGCCATATTTATCACAACGTTTCGGCCGTTGTACGCTCCGGCCTTCTTCAGGTGGTCGAACTGAGCCCTTTAGACATGTTTGATGGATTTCAGTTATCAGTTATCTCCTGTTAATTTCCCTCTGAATGTTCTCCAGGGTATTGAACTCACACTCTTTGGGTCCTGTCACTGGATCTAACCAACGCCTTTATCCACTGTGCCATACGTCCTTGTGGACATCTGGATATGAATTTCTGGGTATTATAAACCTAATGTCTTCAGCAACCATTATTTACCAGTGCTCATATTGCAATTTTGTTGTTATCATTGCATGTTTTTGCCAGAGGTCATATTGCAACTATGTTGTTATCATTGCTTTTCTCTGGCACTCCTTATTACTGGTTCCCATATTGTATTCATTTCTATGCTTGGTCGGCTCAGGAGATTTTTGTGGCCTAGCATATGTGCTGATTCCTTAAGTTTACGAATTTTCCAATGGTGTTCCTTGTCAATGATCTCAACATGTTCCCACATATGGAGGTGATCTCCCTTCTCTCTCCATATGTGGTCAGCCACGCCTGATTTTTCTACTTTCCCTCGTGTTACAGCTTTCTGGTGTTCTTGAAGTATTACCTTGATGGGGCGGCTTGTCTCTCCTTTATACTCCTTTCCGCAGCTGCATGGGATAGCGTACACACAGTCATGATTGTTTTGTATATTTTATTTTTGTCCGCCTTTTTAAATTTCAACATTTATTCTCGTCAGTATTTTGCGTAAGTTTTGTCTTTTGCACGTCCAACTGTCTTATTGTATTTGTTTTTTGTGATTTATTTATACTTTTTTTTTTGTAAAAGAAAAAAAGGGAAAAAATCTTTATGTATTTTAAAAAACGGGTCCCATAAAGAAAGTTAAAAAAAAAACTTATTCGGGACTAAGAAAAAAAGATTGAGCCACCTGATAAATCTGACGAAAATAAAATTACGGAAATTTGTAATGAATCTTCATCAAGTATGATGGCCGATAATGGCCAAAATGTAAAGGAAATGTTTTTAGCGGAAAAAAGCCCAAATTTTCAAATTTCTACTGAAAATATGGAGGCCGAATCAGGTCACAGAATCCAAAATAAAGAAAAAATATGGGCGACGAAACAGGCCCAATCTCTTCTACAAGAAAAGACCTTATCACAGACAATTCCAGCAAAGATGACAAAGTAGCAGTTGGGGAGACGCCCTCTTGCTAGTCGTCCCCATCAAAATGCAGTATCAACATTACGGAGTTTCTTGAGAAAGCTAAAAGCTACCCACATCTTGTTACAAAAGATGGGTTCTTGACAAATCTTGAGGAACTATAGAAAGTTGAAAAAACAATTGCGTCGGTTTTTGTGGTGGACAAGAGTTCGCACAAAATTTGTCGGTCCACAAAAGACATCGTCATAAAATCGTTGACATCCTTGGGGATTAAATCACAGAGAGGCAAAGGCATCTTCATGTGGGACATACTGTTACACACGCCTGTCGACTGTGAAGCGGTTAGCACCCGTGACCTGATAACCAAAGATTTTATACTGAGAACCGAATATCAAGGCAGGCGTAGGACCAACGTTTCAGTATATGAGGTCCATCCTTAGATTGTCGGGGAACACTTGACCGCCTATCTGTGGAAATTTGGCCAGATACTCAGTACTTCCTCTGACTGGGGGATGGAATTTTGAATTAATGGTAGATCGTAAGGCCTTCGTCTCCATCCCCAACTGCCAGGATGTAGAGGGCCAGAAGATGCCGATTATAGTAACAGGTCAAAGACCGGCTTGCTGGAAGTGTGAGCAGACTGGTCACCTGTCCTCTTCCTGCCCAGAGTTGAAGGCCTCTGGAGTTCTGGCCCTCGCCGACCCAAATCCCCCTCAGGCTGAGTCTGTTGTTTCTGCCTCACCTGTAATGGGCATGCCAACAGTCAGGACCGGTGTGCTAAAACCCCCGGTTGGATCCGTCTGACGGCCTACATTCCCCGAAATATCTTTGCCCGCCGCTAGTGCGGTTGTGGAGGAGGAAAAGGGGGAATGGCTGGTTGTTGGTAAGGCTAGAGAGTAGCGGCGGGCAGCGGGTCCTCGTCCCAATGAAGCCCCAACTGGAAACGACACAAATAGTACCAATCCCGCTACCAGTTCTAAGGGTGACTATTCGGAAAAGATTCGTCAGCAAAAACAAAAGTTCGAGCCATCGTTCGAGAAAGCGGAAAAATTGCGGCAAATGAAAGATTCTCTGAAACGGAATAATCACGGAAAAAATCTGGCCCTAATTGCTCGGCACCGTCTTCCCCGTCAGCTAAACAACACATCATGACCCCTCTGCCAGTCCTAAGATCCTCATCTTCCTCTCCCATAAAAATGACAACCTTAATAAAGCTCCTCATCATAGTTTCACCTGCAAAAGACAACCTTTCTACTATTCCTATTAGCCCCAAACCAACCCCTGTCAAAACTCCTGCAGCTACACCGAAAAAGACTGACAATGCCAAAAGGCAAAGAAGCCCATCACCAGAAAACAGAGATCCTTCATCTCATAAAAAACCTAAACCCATCTTTCGCACAGGTGAAGATGTGTGCCGGGTATCCAAAGAACTGGAGGACAAGGCACTGCAATTTTCCCAAAAAATGAAGAGCATTAAATCCCTGGTTATTTTCAGGAAAATTAACAAACTAGATGTCGAAGACCCTAGAAATTTCCCAACTCAAAAAGGGTGTTAACTGTCGTTAGAGGGGGCGAAGTCGCTCAACAAATTTGGGCCATGGTTGCGGAGGTTAACGAAGTCTTCGCTATGTTTCCGTCCATAGCATGTTTTGATAATGATACGATGAAAAAAATTGCAACAATTTTGTTCAGGGAGGTTCCCATTTTTTATTCACCCCCTCCCTGTATAGAGTTTTAAATCTAACTTTCCCTCTGGACATTGGTGGCCTGTCTCCCGACGGCACCATCAAAACTGAGTTAACTGATGTTTCTGCCACATTTAAGGATTGCTGAGGGTTTTATTATTAACATTATTTTGTTTAGATTCTTGTAAATAGATTATATTCATATTGTAGATATTGGGGATTTTTTAATTTGTTGTTTTTATTCCCCCCCCCACAAACAAAGAATTGTACATATGGGGACTATTTAGCTTTTTAATTGAGACAATGAGGTATTATGGTGGATGTAGTAAGAATGTGTTGTTTTGGTGTTTGGGAATATTGTTTGCATGTTTGGGTCAGTGTTTGTAGCTAGCTAAGTTTAAAGTTAAGACTGATGATGACCGTCCCTTCCCCCATCCCCTATTTTAGGCCTTGTGCCGCATATTCTGTATTTTAACAGTAATAAATATCGTAATATACTGTCGAAGTAGTCCATCACTAGCAGTGGTTTACCTACTTCACGGCGCTGGCGAGTATTGTATTTTGTTGATGTTATAAAGAATACCATTTTATTTCCAATCACCGTTTTGTTTATTCCCCATTCAGTAACCCTCTCTAGGTTACAACAGTAAGAAAAGAAAATATAAACTTTAGAAAGGATGTAAAATCATTGGCCTATGTAACTGTTATATGCCGTACTTATGAACACTAATGGATATATCCTAATCCTCATAAGTACGTTGGACACTATTGTAAGTGGGGGTAATATGTTGGCTAAATAGTCCGCCACTAGCAGTGGTTTACCTACTTCACGGCGCTGGCGAGTATTAATAGTATTTTGTTGATGTTATAAAGATTACCATTTCATTTCCAACCTTCGTTTTGGTTATTCCTCATTCAGTAACCCTTTTCAGGTTAAAACATTTTCACATCTTGCACCTTAGAAATTTCAGTTGCTTCTTTCTGATTCTATGTGTAATTCCCTTTCTGCTACCGTTTATCATAAAAGTTCCTTGCTAATGTCCAGTATACGGGATTCTCTATCACTATCTGAAGAACCACATTTCAGTTATCTGAAAGGAGATATTCAGTAGTCATATGCAGGAGGACCAATATTACATAACAGTCAGTACTCGAAATTTTCCTGTTTCTTAATACGTTGCTTAACTTTTGAAAGGCGTCTATCGCTATCCTAAAACACCTCCTAGATATTTACATTTTTGTAATTGCTCGCTTTTGGTGTCTCTAAATCTGAGTTCAAATTTTTTGCTGACAATCATACGTCTTCTCAAAGTGGATGTTTACTCATTTTTTCAAACTTTCTTTTACTACGTTCTGTAGGGGGTCCAGTACGTTCCTTTCTATGTCGTATATTCATTTATTTAAATTATCACAATGTTCTACTAATGTATTTTCGAGGAATTGTTTGGTAGACTCCTGATTCTGATGCAAATTTTACTTTGACATAAGTAACTGAGTATTAGTAGACATCAAGGATTTTATTTCACAAGAATAAAATCTACATTAGCGAGACAAAACTTCATTAAAATTTAATGCCCGATCTTTAACCGTATCGTTGCAGAAATTAGAGATCTCACATTGTTTCAGTATCGATTTAGTAAGAACAGGTGATAGACTGAAATAGCCGGTCGTATATTTATTGTAGAGGACACCGAGATTATGACCCTTGCAATAATCTAAGTAGAAGTTTTTCCAAATTGTTACATCTATCTATCTATCTATCTATCTATCTATCTATCTATCTATCTATCTATTGCTAATAAATATACATTTTCCTTCGCCGGAATCACAATAACAAAAGTTGTTCTACCGGTAGGGAAAAATGAATATTTATTATTAAATTATAAATGTATATATACACACAAACTGTTTCGATGTATCACGCCTCTTCAAAGGTGCCCTAGACACGCGATTGCTCACAAGCCGTCATCGAAATTGATTGATTTCACATCAGTCGGAGATTCTTACCCCTAAGCTATTGGCACAAACCTCAAGGAAGTGGAATTTTTAACGCATTATATATGCATTATTAGCTGCTATATATACATATATATATATATATATATATATATATATATATATATATATATATATATATATATATATTGGGCATAAAACTCAGGGTTATGCTACCGGTGAGGGTGGGGAAAAATATATATTTATTATTAAGGTAAATTATAACTTTTTTTATTATACATTGAGCACTATATTATTAGCATCCTCATCCACTTTGCGATATTTAATATATATATATATGAATTATAATGAAGTAATATGCATATAAAGTAATAATGTATATATATATATATATATATATATATATATATATATTTATATATAAAATATATATTTGTGGAGAAAGAGAGGGAGTTGGGGTAGAATGAATTTCAGGTCAATTTGAGTGTATATAGGCCTAACAGCTCAGTTTATAAAATCTGAGATTCACTCGATCCTCACTGGGTGCCACATAAAAAAAGTTTCGTCACATCTGCGCACCCTGTGAAAATTATCCCATATTTAGTGTGCGTTCCCTCTCCCTCTCTATCTCTCTCACACATACAGAGACATATATATATATATATATTCATACATGTTTCATTAAATAATATAGACAAGTGTTGTCTATTTAAGGTAAATATTATTATATACAAGAGGTATTTTGTGTCGATTTTTATTGGGCTCAAGCTGACACCTCTAACCCTTATCATCCTCATCTAGGCAGACATGCTTACAGAGGTGATGAGGTCTCCCACAGGTCATGAGGTAAATCTGAGATTCATGACCTTCCCAACCATGCCTTGAAATAGGCCCTTTGGTCAATACACGGACTAACCAAAATTAAAAAAAAAACCCAAAACGATGAAAACTACAGGCAAAGTTCACCTTTTTCAGAGATAGTCATTCACCCCTGTAGTTCTCTGCTACTAATAAGCAGGCATTTTTCTCCTGATGATGGCCATACTGTCTGAAATTGGTTGAGGAACCTAATTTAAAAAAAAAAAGAAAAGAAAAATAATAATATGTAACCCAGTGTGTCTTAAATATTAATTTTTAACATTATTTATTGTTCAATCCATACATATATATATATATATGTGTGTGTGTGTGTGTGTGAACCAACGTCTTTACAATGCAAGCCATAACCTGAAGTGAAAATAAAATGATGTGATTTTCTTAAAGTTGTGAAGTGTAGCCATGCGTAAGACAAGATACAATTTCATATCGACTCAATTCAATTTAATCACATCTTTGAAAAGCACAAAGAGATAAATCATACGTTATTTTCCCTTAAGCGCCACCTTTACAGATTTCACACGATTTCCCACCCCGCGTAACAGCTTCCTTTTAGTTATAGTGTTGTCCGTAATGCTCCCATCCGTTGATTAGACACGTCCTTTTTAGCAAGAGGATCTTGTTCGAATCCGATTTGAGGTGTGGCCACTGGCGGACGTTCCGGCTAGATTAATGTTATTTTCTCTTTTGTTTTTATTTTATTAAACCAACCTTCAATATTTGTGAGACGATCTTTTGAAATTTATCATCACGTGGAGAGTCTCAGTTTTGAATGTAATATCTTTTCATGTCCGACCTGGCTTTGAATGGGGTGAAAGACACTCATATTTCGTAAAAAAACAAGAAAAAACAGAAGGTCAGAAATCGCTGTTATGTGGCGATCAGTCTGAGCGTTGATATTTGGTTTGGTCTGGCACAAGATCCTCATGAAAGAACTGATTATATCTGTTGAGGGGTGCCTCCCTTTTTACACAAATGGACTCACCCAGTATGTACATATACTACTGCTATCTGAAGACCCGAGAGAGCAAGACCGAAGAGTCGAGTCCAGAGTGACAGAGTAAAAGGTTGTAGGTAACCGGAAGAGTGAGGGGTGAGGTAGCAGCGTTGTAGGAGTCACAGTGAGCGAGCACGTAGTCTCAGTAAGAACTCATACAGCGATACTTCAATAACAAAGACTGTATATATATTTTGCTGGAACTACTAACCTGCTTTACCAGTTTGTATTATTACGTTAATATATTATTTTTATATATTCATTCCTGGCGTTTGTTATTTATTGGTACCGGATTTCAACCCGGAATCCTCAACAATATCAAAGACAGCAACACAAATTTTGGAAAGATGTGCACTTACGTTTTATACATAACGCAAAAGCAGTTGACAAGGTACGGCACAAGGATGTATTTGAACTGCTAGGAAAGTTCTATCTATTTAGAAAAAAATGTTAGAAAAATCCAAAACTCATACTGGAACCAAACAGCCTGTAGACGGATAGAAAAGGAATTGGGTCGGTTCACAAAGATAGAAAGTGAGACAACGATGTGTTTTCTTTTTAGATTTATTCAATCTCTACAGTTAAGCTCTCATAAGAGAACTGAAAACTCTCCTAGGAATTAGTTTATCAGTGGGCGTAATCTTAAGAATATAAGATACGCAGACGACACTGACAAGGAAAGTAAACTACAGGACAGAAGAAAGCATGAAAAAAAGACTGTCAATTGCAAGAAGACAGAAACTAGAGTCCTCAGTAAGAGAAGAAGCTCAAGATACGAGTTGGAAATTCCAGCTCGATACAGGTGCAGAAGTTTAAAGATTTAGGGAAATGTTTTTACAGATAATACAGAATACGACACCGAGATTCGAATACGTATTGGACTAGCGAAAGAAACCTTTCAAAAGAGAAGCAAGGTGCTGAGAAACGGAAAACAAAAAACGTTAGAAACAAAGAAAAGAGTACCGGATTACTATATGTTAGCCATCCTCACATAAGGCAGTAAATGCTGGACAATCTCCTCACGAGCGAAGAGAAAACTGGAAGTAACAGAAGTGTGGTTCTACAGAAGGATACTGAGAATTACATGGATGGTGCGAGTAAGCAGAAAGGACGTCTTAAAGAAAATGGCAACAGAAAGAACACTTATGCCCAGAATCGAGAAAAAAATCAGCTGAAACTCTTTGGATACAATGAGGAAGAGGGGCTTAGAAAACTTAACCCTCACGGGTTATACTGACGGCAAGAGAGATAGGAGAAAATAGCAGGCCGTCTATTTACGGAGCTTTTGTGAATGGATGGCAGAAGCCTTTACAAAAGGTAAAAAAATACTAATAGACACAGAAGTAGGAAGTTGTGGAGAGCCATGATATGAATGGATGCGGAACGCAGAAGAAAGTGAAGTCAGTCAGTTATGTACGATCCATGATTCACGCTAAGGCGATCATGTATCTTTCGCTACATGACTGACGAGGCAGATTTTTTCCCCGCTGTAGGTTGCCATTTCCTTCTGCAATAGACCAGTTGCCACCCAAGGTCTGTCCTGCTCTTTACCCATAGCTGGGTAAAGAAGAAGAGGATTCATACCTTTCCCAAGGGTATAAGCATGAAATGTAATGGATTCGACTGGAATTCGAACTCAGCTCTCCGATTCCTCAATCCAAACCGCTATCCATTACTCCATCAAGGAGAAATATTATATTTGGCAATAATTATTTCCCTTCAGAGTAATTCGACTATTATAAGCTATAAAAGCCATGCTCATTTTCTGTTCATTTGTGATTGAGTAAACCTAAATTTAAATAAGATCCCCAAAGCTTATTGTTCGTGTTAAGTTATTATTACAGGAACAGCAAATGAGGATCGAATTTGTACCTTTAGATTCCGTTTCTCTCAGGACGAGATATTTTCATCAAGTACAAAAATAGGATGACTCGCGCCGTTGCCACACGACATTAAGCACCTAGCAATTTAAAACTGTAGAGAAGAAAGATTTATTCTCCCAACTATTTTCCCCATTATGGGCATTATTATATTCATGATATATGAACACCGATATTTAACGGAATGACTGAAAGTAAAAAAAGAATGAAAACATGCTTTCTTCTCAGAGAGACTTTTATTCTACAAAGACAAAAAAATAAATAAATATTAATACATATATACACATGTCACTCGCGGAGAATAATATATCACATATATTTACACAGCCAAGAAGAGTGTAAGGAGAAGCAATAAGGAAGGGTCTTACATATAATATGAAGACAGCACTGTACCTGGAGAAGCCATTTTTTGGACTCCAGAAACATGCGGGCTGGATTCAACTATGTCCCAGGTGAGGACATATTCCACGAACGGGAAACAGCGGGTCTTGGGTTTCTCTAAATTGAGGACTGCGAGCTGGAGTTTCATTCTATATCTGGGAAAAATATATTCCAAAATTTAAACGGCACCATGAACTTGTAAGCTGCTGTGGAGGCATATTTAGCATCTGCCTGGGGCGTGGGGTCACCGGGTTAAAGAAAGCAAACTTTTTGTTTGGTTGCTGAAAACGGACTGAAATTTGATTGCTGCTTTTCATCACTGTATGCAGTGATGTCATTGAGCGGGGTCGTCATTTGACGCACGTGACTTATCTCCACCAAAGAGAGATAAGCATCTTTCGTACCCTTACAGAATCAATCAAAATATTAGTTTTCATTAAAAAAAAAAAAAATTCAAATTTTAGTTTAAATTATATTTAACTTGCTAACCGAAGGATCATCTGTGGCCCAATCGGTTAAGGCACGTCAGGCTATATGACGGTTCCGTGTAAGATACAGGTTCGATTCCTGTCGGAGGACGAATATGTTTTATGAGAATTTTTCGGATATTCAGGCCGGTAAATGTTGCTAATACTGTTTATTATAAACAGAGCATTTATTTAAATATTTGTATCTATAAAAAGAATGTATAAACATAAAATGTCTTAAT